GTGTTAAACTAAGATAATTTTTTGTAGGTTATCTATGAAATTGGAAAAACCAAATTTGGAGTGTCGATTTAGAATTCTTAAACGATTTTAGTGGTGAAAATCGCTTTTTAATATCTCGATTAGTTTTTGAGAAAAAAATGTTTAAAGATAACCTAAAAAATACGACTTGTTATCTATGAAATTGGAAAAACCAAATTTGGAGTGTCGATTTAGAATTCTTAAACGATTTTAGTGGTGAAAACCGCTTTTTAATATCTCGATTAGGTTTTGAGAAAAAATGTTTAAAGATAACCTAAAAAATACGATTTGATGTTCACACTTTTTTGGGTGTTAAACTTAGATAACCTTTCGTAGGTTATCTATGAAATTGGAAAAACTAAATTTGGGGTGTCGATTTAGAATTTTTAAACGATTTTAGTGATAAAAACCGCTTTTTAATATCTCGATTACTTTTTGAGAAATAAATGTTTAAAGATAACCTAAAAAATACAACTTGATGTTCACACTTTTTTTATTGTTAAATTNAAAAAATTATCAACTTATTTTGACACATTTTAAGTGTTGGGTTTAAATAATTTTTTTCTAGGTTATGTATGAAATTGGAAAAACTAAATTTGGGGTATCGATTTAGAATTCTTAAACGATTTTTGTGGTGAAAACCCCTTTCTAATATCTCGATTAGTTTTTGAGAAATACATTTAAAAAGAAAATCAAAAAAAATTATGAGTTGATATCCATAGTTTTCTAGTGTTAAGTTCAAAATTTGATAGCTAAGATCTGTATGAAATTGAAATAATTAAATTTGGAGTATTAATTCAGAATTCTCAAGCAATTTTAATAATGAAAACGATTTTTTGATATCTCGCATGGTTTCTGAGAAATTATTCGTTAAAGTTAACTTAAAAAATTATCAACTTATTTTGACACATTTTAAGTGTTGGGTTTAAATAATTTTTTTCTAGGTTATGTATGAAATTGGAAAAACTAAATTTGGGGTATNTATCTATGAAATTGGAAAAACCAAATTTGGGGTGTCGATTTAGAATTCTTAAACGATTTTAGTGGTGAAAACCGCTTTTTAATATCTCGATTAGTTTTTGAGAAAAAAATTTTTAAAGATAACCTAAAAAATACGACTTGATGTTCACACTTTTTTTATTGTTAAATTCAGATAATCATTCCTCTGTTATCTATGAAAGTGGAAAAACCAAATTTGGGGTGTCGATTTAGAATTCTTAAACGATTTTAGTGGTGAAAACCGCTTTTTAATATCTCGATTAGTTTTTGAGAAATAAATGTTTAAAGATAACCTAAAAAATACAACTTGATGTTCACACTTTTTTTACTGTTAAATTTAGATAATTTTTCCTAGGTTATCTATGAAATTGGAAAAACCAAATTTGGGGTGTCGATTTAGAATTCTTAAACGATTTTAGTGGTGAAAACCCCTTTTTAATATCTCGATTAGTTTTTGAAAAAAAAATGTTTAAAGATAACTTAAAAAATACGATTTGATGTTCACACTTTTTTGGGTGTTAAACTTAAATAATCTTTCCTAGGTTATCTATGAAATTGGAAAAACCAAATTTNTCCATAGTTTTCTAGTGTTAAGTTCAAAATTTTATAGCTAAAATCTGTATGAAATTGAAATAATTAAATTTGGAGTATTAATTCAGAATTCTCAAGTAATTTTAATGATGAAAACGATTTTTTGATATCTCGCATGGTTTCTGAGAAATTATTCGTTAAAGTTAACTTTAAAAATTATCAACTTATTTTGACACATTTTAAGTGTTGGGTTCAAATAAGTTTTTCTAGGTTATGTATTAAATTGGAAAAACTAAATTTGGGGTGTCGATTTAGAATTCTTAAACAATTTTAGTGGTGAAAACCGCTTTTTAATATCTCGGTTAGTTTTTGAGAAAAAAATGTTTAAAGATAACCTAAAAAATACGACTTGATGTTCACACTTCTTTTATTGTTAAATTCAGATAATCTTTCCTCTGTTATCTATGAAATTGGAAAAACCAAATTTGGAGTGCCGATTTAGAATTCTTAAACGATTTTAGTGATGAAAATTGCTTTTTTATATCTTGATTAGTTTTTGAGAAAAAAATTTTTAAAGATAACCTAAAAAATACTACTTGATGTTCACATTTTTTTGGGTGTTAAACTTAGATAATCTTTCCTAGGTTATCTATGAAATTGGAAAAACAAAATTTGGAGTGTCGATTTAGAATTCTTAAACGATTTTAGTGGTGAAAACCGCTTTTTAATATCTCGATTAGTTTTTGAGAAAAAAATGTTTAAAGATAACCTAAAAAATACGATTTGATGTTCACACTTTTTTGGGTGTTAAACTTAGATAATCTTTCTTAGGTTATCTATGAAATTGGAAAAACCAAATTTGGGGTGTCAATTTAGAATTCTTAAACGATTTTAGTGGTAAAAACCGCTTTTTAATATCTCGATTAGTTTTTGAGAAAATAATTTTTAGAGATAACCTAAAAAATATGACTTGATGTTAACACTTTTTTGGGTGTTAAACTTAGATAATCTTTCCTAGGTTATCTATGAAATTGGAAAAACCAAATTTGGAGTGTCGATTTAGAATTCTTAAACGATTTTAGTGGTGAAAACCGCTTTTTAATATCTCGATTAGTTTTTGAGAAAAAAATGTTTAAAGATAACCTAAAAAATATGACTTGATGTTAATACTTTTTTGGGTGTTAAACTTAGATAATCTTTCCTAGGTTATCTATGAAATTGGAAAAACCAAATTTGGGATGTCGATTTAGAATTCTTAAACGATTTTAGTGGTGAAAATCGCTTTTAATATCTCGATTAGTTTTTGAGAAAAGAATTTTTAAAGATAACCTAAAAAATACGACTTGATGTTCATACAATTTTTATTGTTAAATTCAGGTAATCTTTCGTCGGTTATCTATGAAATTGGAAAAACCAAATTTGGGGTGTCGATTTAGAATTCTTAAACGATTTTAGTGGTGAAAACCGCTTTTTAATATCTCGATTAGTTTTTGAGAAAAAAATGTTTAAAGATAACCTAAAAAATACGACTTGATGTTCACACTTTTTTGGGTGTTAAACTTTGATAATCTTTCCTAGGTTATCTATGAAATTGGAAAAACCAAATTTGGAGTGTCGATTTAGAATTCTTAAACGATTTTAGTGGTGAAACCCGCTTTTTAATATCTCGATTAGTTTTTGAGAAAAGAATTTTTAAAGATAACCTAAAAAATACGACTTGATGTTCACACTTTTTTGGGTGTTAAACTTTGATAATCTTTCCTAGGTTATCTATGAAATTGGAAAAACCAAATTTGGAGTGTTGATTTAGAATTCTTAAACGATTTTAGTGGTGAAAACCGCTTTTTAATATCTCGATTAGTTTTTGAGAAAAAAATGTTTAAAGATAACCTAAAAAATATGACTTGATGTTAACACTTTTTTGGGTGTTAAACTTAGATAATCTTTCCTAGGTTATCTATGAAATTGGAAAAACCAAATTTGGAGTGTCGATTTAGAATTCTTAAACGATTTTAGTGGTGAAAATCGCTTTTTAATATCTCGATTAGTTTTTGAGAAAAAAATTTTTAAAGATAACCTAAAAAATACGATTTGATGTTCACACTTTTTTTATTGTTAAATTCAGATAATTTTTCCTTGGTTATCTATGAAATTGGAAAAACCATATTTGGGGTGTCGATTTAGAATTCTTAAACGATTTTAGTGGTGAAAATCGATTTTTAATATCTCGATTAGTTTTTGAGAAATAAATGTTTAAAGATAACCTAAAAAATACAACTTGATGTTCACACTTTTTTTACTGTTAAATTCAGATAATCTTTCCTTGGTTATCTATGAAATTGGAAAAACCATATTTGGGGTGTCGATTTAGAATTCTTAAACGATTTTAGTGGTGAAAATCGCTTTTTAATATCTTAATTCGTTTTTGAGAAACAAATGTTTAAAAATAACCTAAAAAATATGACTTTATGTTCACACTTTTTTGGGTGTTAATCTTATTGTTAGATAATCTTTCCTAGGTTATCTATGAAATTGGAAAAACCAAATTTGGGGTGTCGATTTAGAATTCTTTAACGATTTTAATGGTGAAAACTACGTGTTGATACCTCGATTAGTTATTGAGTAATCAACCTTTAAAGTTAACCTTAAAATTTTTTTTGTCTAACTTTGAGTCAAAATGAAATATTAATTTTTATTAATAACAAAGGATTTATACATCAAATTAAAGCTTAATTAATTTTTTAACACCCTGTATTTTAACCTTTCAGCAAAAACATTCGAATCTGTAATAATTAAAACTAATATACTGTAGTTTTTGGTACTTTAAACTTTTTAAAATCGACTGGAAACTTTTATACTACTACTTACTACTATTTATTAATAAAATAACCATTACTGAAAATAATTTAAATGGCAATAATCCTAATAAAAAGAAAATGAAATCAAATAACTTGGGGAAACAATAACTAAATACTTTTAATAAATCTTTAAGGATCGTTTTTAAAGTTTTTGCACAATACCAATAACATAATACCATATCATATCGATTTATAGAATGTTTTCTTTTTAATTTTATTTTTTTGAATAAATAATTACGCTGTAGATACATACACACGACGTATCTTCCAGGTATTAATAAGTTTTAAGTATACAATTTACCGTCTGCTCCACCTTTGGAGCATTCTATACTTGAAAAGAATGATTATAAGATTCGTTGTGACCTGTAAGTGTAAAATGTCGCCCGATGCATGTATAGCTTCTCTCTTCGTAATAAAAAAAAATGTATTAAAAAAATATTTAGCGATTTGTGATTTTAAATAATTAATCATAAGGCGAAATTGATTCGCCCATTGATTGTAGAGGCGTTCTATATCACATCACGGTACCATTCAAAATAAAATTATTATAAAAATCTATTTTGTTTATTTATTAAACTAAAAAGAAACTCATTACAATTACAAAAAGCTTAATGATAAATTAAGATAAGTGGAAAAAAATATTTTAAATTGAATTTAATAAATCGGTTCTGGTTTCTGTGTCATTAATAATCCAAATCTTTGTTTGATTGTTATTCTTTGTCGGGAATATTTATCTTCAGGTGAAAATCGGGCTAAAAAAAGAAAATTTATTAATAATTAATTGTAGTTATTGTAATTGGAGAAGGTATTGAGGAATTAATTAAATTACCTGGGTGAGCAGAAAATGTTGGGTTTCCACTCGGATCTTTTTTCTGTAACAATAAAAAATTAATAAATTGTTGTATCAAAAATAAAACATAACCTAAAATAATAAAAGTGCTAAATTTAAGTAATAATGTTGTATTTATTAAAGAAATTACCTGTAAGGTGTAAACCCGTTGACCATTTCCATCTAAATAATACATTAAATACATTTTTGTTGCAAAAACACGTGTTTTGTGCTTTAATGTGCTTTAAGAATTTGAGGTTATCTCTCTGTCAAATTTGCTGTCAATTTTTAATAAATTAAGAATTAAAAAAATGAAATTTAATGTACAATAATTAATTTATAAATTTAAAATAATATTTTGATTTCATACAATTAAAGATATTTAATAAATATATTTAAAAATTAATATTTAAAGATTTCCTTTTTTTTAATCAACGAAATTTAGTTATTAAACGATAGATGGCGCGATCTGTTAATATAGAATATTTTTGAAAAAAATTTTTTACTTGGGAAATCACCGTGACAAAGGTATTTACAGTGAGCAATCGATACAAAATAATTACGACGATCGAACGATCATCATTCCCGTTCGGGCAATTAAACAAAATAATAGATTAATGTGCCCGAAATGACACTGCAAAATTACGAAGACGGGGCTCCGGAACGAACGGGGTTCTGACCGAGAACCGCGGGGAATCCGTTCCTCTTGATTACAAAATGAAAATTTAAAAGTTGTGTCCTTTCGGAGAGCCGCTCGACCATTAATATTCATAATAAATGAATTTAATAAAAACGTAAATTAAACCTCAAAAAAATCTTAATCGCGACTAAAAATGCTTCAAAATGAGTCCAAACAAGTGAGTTTTAAAACCAGAGAAGATTTTAAGTAAACTGTAGTTACGAATCTATATATTTACTTGTTTAAACATAATAAAAACCAAGGTGTACCTACTTACTTTGTCCCACATAAAATGCAACATGACAAATTGGCATTACACTAAAACCTCGATATAAGGGATTAATATGGGGAAGGAAGTGTCCGTTATAGCTCAATCAAAATATATACAATAATCTAGCGGTAAATAACAAAGAAAACTAGAGCACTAGAACTAATACTACACCTAGAACTAGCTATCTTATGTTCTGTTTATCAATAAAGCGAACTACCAGCGTTCATATAATTCATCAACAACTATATTGTATTTACTTTATTAACCAACAGTGTACACGACTATTATAATTTTTATACAAGCGCAAGCAAGTACAAACAAGCCAAGGTTTATATACAGGTGTCTCAGCGAGACCGGTCATTAGACGTTTCTGGGGTTCTGGCCAAACAAAAAATTTGAGAATGCAGACTTAAGTATTATCAATTACGTTCTCTTCATCTAAAATATTTTCAGATTTCTAGCACTTCCGGTTATACCGGAAGTCGCCACCTACTTTATTTTTTTAAATGGAACACCCTGTATATTTTTACATATTTGGATTTGTCTGTTTTGAAGGTTTATAAATAACTTTACTTTTTGCAATTTGAACCAGCAATTCTCGAGTTATTCGAATTTTTCTAGAAAAATTTGCTCCAGCGGACATTTGTTCAAAAAATCATAGAACACTCAATTTTTGAGATATCAATTTAGGATTCAGAACATGCTTAAACAACATGATGGAGTATGTTTTGGTGCCGAGAACGGCTGTCTAGATCGTTTGGTCACTTTACTATGACACGTTAACTTTTCGAAATTTGGAAGCACCATAACTTCATTTTTTTAAATGGCACCTCCCATATTTTATTACTTAGTCGTCTTCGGCGTCTCATTTTACATCTTTTATACTCCATATGTCCTATGCCTAACATTAATAGTTTGAGAAATAATTAG